ATTCTGTCTTCAACAAAATTTTCACCCAGTGGGAAACACCATGCTGGGACCTGTTCACTTCCCAAACAAACAATAAATTCAATCTCTCCTGCTCCAGAGCAGCATTAGACAGAGACTCTAGGTGTGATGCCCTTCTGTTATCCTAGACAGACCATCCGAGGTACACTTTTTCTCCCATCCTCCTTCTACCTGCTTCTACCTCAGGTTCTGTGGAAAATTCACTACGTCAGGGTCATCCTCATTACAACAAATTGGCCCAGACAGTTTTGGTTTCTGGATCTCTTACAAATGTTATCCCATTCTCCTGTCAGTATCTCTCTCTTTCCAGATCTGTTAACTCAGCAGAACAGCAGGATCAAACATCCCAGCCCAGATCCTCTTCATCTCAGCCTGGTATTTGGATGGGCATCAGAACTAGAACATTCATGTTCAGAGGCTGTCCAAGCTGTCCTCAATGCTAACACTTTCTGGTGGAAACTCTTCTGCTATCTAGCAAAATGGAGGCATTTCTCTACCTGGACACAACATAATCAGTTATCACCAGAATCACCAGACCTCAGGACTTTCTATTAGTTTGTTGCGAGTCCATCTGGCAGCAATCAATGCCTTAATCCCCTGATGGAAGCCCATTCTATCTTTATTCACCTGACCATGATTCAGTTCCTGAAAGGTTTCATTAGGACCTTTCCACTGGTAGTCCACCCTGCAGTGGTACCTCAACCTGGTACTCTGTTCTTATCACACCACCCTTCGGACCGAGGACCATGTTGTTCCATGTCACACCTTTCCATGAACATTGCCTTCTTTGTTGCCATCACATCAGACAGATGGGTGTGCAAGCTGGGAGCACTCATGGCTGACCTGCTGTATACCATATTTCATAGGGAAAATGTCTCCCTTCATTTTCACCCAAACATTCCTCCCAAGGTAATTTCTGAGTTTCACATGAACCAACCTATTCACATACCGGTATTCTTCCCAAAACCTCATGCTTCCAGCGAAGAAAAGAGACTGCATTCCCTCCACGTCAGACAGGCCTAAGCTTTTTATCTGCAAAGAACAAAACTGATTAGGAAAACATTGAGGCTATTTGTTGCTATAGCAGACCGATTGCAAGGACAAACATCTGCCCAGAGACTCTCTAAGTGGATCTCTGGATGCATCATTCTGTGTAATCAGTTGGCATGTATTTGTCCACCAGACAAGGTGGGGGCCCACTCTTTTTGAGAGCACAAGCAACCTCAACAGTATCTTTTTGAGAGGTACCTATGCAGGTCATTTGTAAGGCAGCTACCTGGAGTTCCAGCCATACCATTATGAAGAGTTGCACCCAAGTTTAGGCCTCTTCTGCAGATGCAGCTATGGGGACAGCAGTACTACAGACATCTATACTAGCTGCAATCTTGCACCCTTCTTTTGTTTAAATACTGTTTACCAATCACCCACCTGTGGAGTACACATAGGGATCAGCACTCAAAAAAGAAATGGAGGTTACCTGGGGTTCTTCAAGATGTGTGGTCCATATCTGTATTTGACTATCCTGCCCTCCTTCCCCTCTGCTTTGGATCTTCTCTGATTCCTGGTAAGAGAAGGAACTGGAGAGACATAGGTCCATGCCATCCTTTATGCCGTCATTCCAAAGCACAAGAAGGGCACCTGCACAGGTGCAGTCCAACAGACACTACTTGCTACAAATCTCCAGTCTCAGGACCATGGAGCGCACGCATACCATGTTTGGAATACAGATATGGACAACACATCTTGAAGAACCTCCAGTTACAGGTAAGTAGTCTCCATTTGTGCGAAACTTGTAAATTTAACTTCATCAGGTCATTCTCTGTAAGCCAGAACACTCCACATCCTAATAATATTCACTTTGTATTTATAATCTGAATGAAACCAAAAAGCCACAAAGCAAAGCTCATTCTTACTGTTATCTGAAAACTATAAGGATTGACACAAACCCATGAGTTTGTCCAGGTTTCCTCCAAAGTTGTTTTACAGCTTGGAAATGCTGAAGTGATCATGATGATTGACAGTTTTCTATTTCTGTAACATTCAGGATTTTTTTGTTTTTGTTTTTTTTTAAGTAGATGATGGCAAAAATTCTCATGCTGTTAGAGATATAGGGTATGTCTACACAACACACTAGACCCGATCTCTGACTCCATTTTAAGACCAAGCCCCACTTCTATCCACACAGAAATTAGAATTGGGCCAGGAATCCTTCTGGACTCAGGCCTGTGGACCCTGCTAGAGGGAGGGTCAGAGCCTGAGTCCTGTGATGCGGATATTTTGCAGTATGGATGCAGCTGAAGCCCGAGTCACCAGACTTGGGTCTGGAGAGTCTGCCAATGCTATCCCACAATCTTCTGGGGCTGAGTTTGCCAGCTCTTCCATCCCAAAACTTTCCACTCACTTTCCAGGAACTGGAAGCAACTTCCTGGTTCAAATTCAGCTACTTGGCGTTTAACCCTTCATTACCACGCAGACTGCTCAACTGGAAACACAGCTAAACCTCTTGTGTACTAGTGTGGCCATCACTAAGAAGAAGTCCTGCATCAAGTGCATTGCCAAGTGGCCAGAGGAACACAGCTGGATTCTCGTTAACCTCTGATATAAGGTGAGCAAGATTTTCGTCTTCAGTAAGAAACCAAGAAATTAACATGTCTACAAAGGCAGCAGTGTGTCCTGTGGCACCTTATAGACTAACAGACGTATAGGAGCATGAGCTTGCGTGGGTGAATACCCACTTCTTCGGATGCATGTAATGGAAATAACTACAAAGCTATATCCAAGTGGCTGGCGGCACTGAGAATTGACTGAGAACAATGCAGAGCGTGAATTAAGAAGCTGAAGACAGACTACTGCATGGCCAAAGATTCTAATGGCACCTCTGAACTCCCCATCTTCCTGCCTCTGTTATGAGAAGATACAACATCTGGAAGCTGAATCTAGACAAATTCAGACTAGAAATAAGGTTCACATTTTGAAACAGCAATGGCAATTAATCCATCAGAACAAGTTATCTAAGGATGTGGTGAATTCCCTATCACTCAAAGTCTTTAAATCCAGACTTGATATCTTTCTGAAAGATATGGTCTAGCTCAAACAGAAGCGACGGGCTTGATGCAGAAATTAGGTGAGGGGAGGTTCTTTGGCCTGTGTTATGCAGGAGGTCAGACTAGATGATCATAATGGTCCCTTCTGGCTTTATAATCTATTAATCTGACTGAGTGAATAAATACCACTCAGCATAAATTTAGCAGAATCAGGCCACTAATTTGCAAACTTAACTCCTCTTCCTGTCTGCAACTGTGCCTGATCTTAAACATGATCTGAGAAGTCAAATTTCTTGTGCATGCACTCACTCTCTCACCCTCCTGCACCCCTTTGGCCTAAGAATCCTCACAGAATGGACAGGGGAGGGCTACGGAACAATTAAACCGGAGGCAGATGTGGGTAGGGTTGTGCTGTTTAGTCAGTGCTTAGTTTGTAATGAAAGAGGTGCCAGGGCTCAAGCAATGTTTTACATTCAAAACTGATGCAGCAAACCCAGAGGTGCCGGGGCTATGAACTGCCATGCTTAGAGGTGCTGGGAGAGGTGCTCAGGTCCAACACAAATTAAGCACTGTGTTTAGTAACGGTGAGGAGTGCAGCCATGGGGGTAGCGGGAGTGGAATCTGGATGGGGTACTTTGAAAATCTAGGGCTGGCCCTGCTTATGTTAAACTATGGCTGCTGCAGTAGAATTGGTTACTGTAGATCAGTGGTTCTCAACCGGTGGCTCGCAGGCTGCTTGTGGCCCAATCAGCACACAGCTGCTGCCCATGTGACATCCTCAGGGCCATACAGGCAGTATATATATTGTGTGGATGCAGCCCACATAACACATAGAGAGCTGCATATGCAGCCCGCAATAGTGAATAGGTTGAGAATCACTGCTGTAGATTCATAGACGAATTAACATGTTGGACTGTTTTGAATAAGAGACCTAGGCACCCATCATCAGTGTTGCCAACTTTCATGAGTTTAATTGCAAGTCTCATAATATTTGGAGGTTATTCTTAAAGCTCCAGCTCCTGGAGATATGCACTTGTGAGAACTGGAGTTTTTATGGGGGAGGGGGGGGAAACTTTTGGCCCTCATGATTGCAGAGGAAAGCCTGAAATCATGAACCAAATGTATACTAAATACTCAAACTAAAAGGCAAAGAGAACCCCCAAAAATATTTTAGAGTCTCATGATTTGAGTTCTTGGGGTTTGCAATAATGCATTATGAAATCAATAGCTTTGTGCCTTGTGGGTTTAGATTGTCAAGCAAATTTCTTCCATGGATTGTGGGCTAAACTCATCCCTTATGTAACAGTAATGAAATCACAGATTCACACAGAATGAACTTGGCCCTGTGTTTACAAGTCTATGCATCTTTACTCATTTTCATGTGTTTTTTTCAAATCAGTTACTGGCAGTTGTCCACCAGGTGGCAATAAAAGCCTTATTTAACAGAAGTGAATTATATTTTTGTGTCTTGCTTCAGATGACTGCATGACCGATAGATATCATGGCTCCAATTCAGTAATTAAGCCTGGTTTATTTGTTTATACATACTCTGTATGCAGTCAGAAAACTCTTGCTCTGTACACTATCAGCAATTATAAAACCTGTTCATTTATATTAGTGTGTGGTTATGCAGTTAATAAACTGGGTAGAAATCTGGAACTCTAACAGTAAACTGTAACAAAGTGATTTCTTGACAATGCTTGCTATTAGAGTAAAAGCTGGAGCAGTCACCATTTCCACCAATAGCAAGGATTTGTGCAGGCTTCAATCTGTGGCTATTATGAACTGATAGCGTATCAAGTTTCATAATGTGGGTTATCACTGTGTGTCTTGGCAATTTATGTTCTTGTTTAGTCTGAAAAATCAGTGCTATATTTTATGAGCCATTGATTTAGCTAAATACATTCAATATATTCTTCTGGTTTTTATATTTTGCAGTTCTCCAGGGATAACTAAGTTCACCAGAAGCAATGAGTAAGACTGTGCAAAAGAATATCAATGCTCAGTTTTATTTAGTTGTGTTATCTATATTCCACCAAATATTTCATTAAAAAACAATATAGGCTTCCCAATAACATCTACCCCTACACATATTGTTGTCTGATTGGCCTGGGTGATTAGCCAATATTCTGGGCCTTGCAGGATTGTTTCTGTGAGGAGGAGAAATTGATTATATGAGTCAGATATACACCTCTACCCCGATGTAACGCTACCCGATATAACATGAATTCGGATATAACGCGGTAAAGCAGCGCTCTGGGGGGGCGGGGCTGAGCACTCCGGTGGATCAAAGCAAGTTCGATATAACGCAGTTTCACCTATAACGCGGTAAGATTTTTTTGGCTCCCGAGGACAGCGTTGTATCGGGGTAGAGGTGTATTATTTGGTACAATCCTGTTTATTTACAAAGCAGTATGGATTAAAAATATTTTAAAAATTTGGTTTATTTATTTAGATTTTTAAAATTTAAATACATTTCTTTTAAAAATATATATAAATTTGAAATGATTAAACCTATATTAAGGCCTCAATTTAGTATAATCTATTAAAATAATTTAAAGTTAAATAAAAAATATTCAAGCCAATATTTGCTGCCAAAGCTTTAAAGAAAATCAAACCATTGAATTGGTGGAAGTCACTGGCTAAGGACATGAACCAGAATTTGTTGAAATGCTAAACCAGTTTTGACCGCAGTAGCCTCTTTTGCAGATACAGAGAGAATACTGTATTGTCTTCATTTCAGTTTATTTGACTAGTTCAGTTCAATGACTAGTTCATTCAAAGTTAAGAAACCAAGTGGTTGAAAAAGCATGAAAGTTTGTTTCCGCTACCGCTCTGAATAAAAATGATATGTGAGGGTGGGATCTACTAGTTTTAAAACCTTGAAGGACATGGTGACCCGAAGCAATCAGTTCAATACTCCAACTACAGAACTTTCTTTGTTTAAAAATAAACCAGTTTTAAATGCAAAACATGTTTTGCTACTTTCCTTATGTATCCCGCACATTTAAGGTTGTTTATTAGTTTACATAAAACTATTTTAAAATACTAGCTTTGTGAATTTTAATTGAATTCCAGCTTCCATCCAAATACTGCTTGACGCGAGTTGCAATTAAAAAATTAATCTATTCAATAAGAAATGCATCATTAACCATTTTCTAACATAATTAAAAGGTAAAATTTAAAAATCTGAATAAATGTAATTTAAGGTAAATAATTGTATAAAAAGCATGCATAGATAGTATATCCTGGTTAGCAAAAAAGAGTACCAAATTTAGTGTAAAGGTTATATTTAATTGCAAATCAACACGTTTTAAGGAGGATCAACATCTCTTTAGGAAAAGTACAAATATAAACCAAGATTAAAATTGATGTTTTAAATCAAGGTTTCCTGCTTGTTACATAAATAATAAAATCAGCACTTTAAATCACTTTGATTTAGATCAATCCATCCTGTTACAAAGAATGTGCAAAATCCTGTTTCCCTGATTATAGTAAGAACAGACAGCATGCCTTCCTTGTTCACTATTTCCAAATGTGCCCTCCAGTCAGTTCTGTGCACCAGGAGCTCTGTGTCTCTGACCTCACTCGGGGCCATGCTTGATTGTTTCAATTGCTGCATCCTGGCTTTCTGCATCTAACACACAGCTTGACAAACATTTTCCCAGCCCTCCTGCTTGTTAACCAATCCCAGGGAAACCCCTCACTCCACATGGCTTAGCCCTGCTCAAGCTTTGCCATCTGCTCAAGACACTGGGCCAATAGCCTCCTACTGTTTCCAGCTATCACTACATAAAGGAGTATTAATTACTCCTTCCACTTAGACTGAAACAAGGGTGCATAGCACACCAATTGGCTTTAACCAGGTCTGCAACTGTCTGCAGATCAAAGATGGCAGCCATTGAATTCTTCCAGCACAACAGTATAGAAATATAGTTGAAATTTGAAAAATAGTTTAAAAGCAGATGCTGCTGCCGCCACTTCATTGTCTCCCTTGCTCCCCTTACCAGATTGAATACACCATCCCTTCCAGATAACACAACTCTCAAAACTACCAAGTCAACACCCTTGTGATGGGTTGGATCACAGAAACCCCCCTGGGAGCTGCCAACTGATGTGCCAAGACTACTTCTGCTCCTGTTTTCCCTGCCAGCTCAGGACTCCAGCACTCTGTCTTGCTGCGCCAGACACTCCCATCTGCTCCAACAAAGACCCAGAGTCTGAATTACTTGCCCCAAAGCTGCAGGTTTACCTGAAAACAGCTCACAGAAGTGTGCTTGTCTTTAGCACTCAGATGCCCAACTCCCAATGGGGTCTAAACCCAAATAAATCCGTTTTACCCTGTATAAAGCTTATGCATGGTAAACTCATAAATTGTTCGCTCTCTATAACACTGATAGAGAGATATGCACAGTTGTTTGCTCCCTCAGGTATTAATACATACTCTGAGTTAATTAATAAGTAAAAAGTGATTTCATTAAATACAGAAAGTAGGATTTAAGTGGTTCCAAGTAGTAACAGACAGAACAAAGTAAGTCACCAAACAAAATAAAATAAAATGCGCAAATATATGTCTAATCAAACTAAATACAGATAATCTCACCCTTAGAGAGGCTTCAGTACGTTTTTTCCTCAGACTGGACACCTTCCAGGCCTGGGCACAATTCTTTCCCCTGGTACAGCTCTTGTTCCAGCTTAGGTAGTCGCTAGGGGATTCTTCATGATGGCTCCTCTCTCTTCCTGTTCCGTTCCACCCCTTTATATATCTTTTGCATCCCGCGGGAACTCTTTGTCCCTCTGGGTTTCCACCCCCCCTCACTGGAAAAGCACCAGGTTAAAGATGGATTCCAGTTCAGGTGACATGATCACATGTCACTGCAAGACTTCATTACCCACTTGCCAGCACACACGTATACAGGAAGACTTACAGGTAAAACACAGCCATCTGCAGACAATGGTCCTGGTTAATGGGAGTCATCAAGATTTCAAACCACCATTAATGGCCCACACTTTGCATAATTACAATAGGCCCTCAGAGTTATATTTTAGATTTCTAGTTTTAGATACAAGTGGTATATTTATACAAATAGGATGATCACACTCAGTAGATTATAAGCTTTGTAATGATACCTTACAAGAGACCTTTTGCATGAAGCATATCCCACTTACATTATATTCACTTATCATATTTTTATAAAACCATATAGACTGCACAACATCACAACCCTTTCTTACAAATCTAAAATCTTCACCCCTTGGAGTGGGGACTCACAAGCCATCCTTTACCAAATGAACAATTTTACCCCTCTACCTCCTCCAAGAGTTTTCAGGTCTCTTTCTCAGCTCCTTCAGCACAGGTCTCACTCAGAAGAGGGAAATGATTTATAGACCTGCCTCTGTTCCCATAGTTTCCATGATCCCTGAGATCTACAACTCCAAAAATGCCTCTTTCTAGGCTGAAATTAGTAAAAGGCCTGCGTGTAATAGGCCAGCATGCCCTGTTACAACCATAAAAAGCCAGAAAATCCCTAATTTAGTCATCACCCTTGCAACCTAGACCCAGCATTTTGTTTTCTACTCGTTATCTCACCCAAAATAGCATGCCTCCACCTTCACACAAGATGGCCATCCTTTATCTCTTGCTGTGTAGAGAGGTTAAAAATGGAAGTTGAACTGAAATAGAAGGATTATGTTAAATTGTAGATTTTTAGTTGATGGTTATGTTGAAGTGTGATGTGTAGGAAGATTGTGATTAGAAGGATTTTTTTTTTAATGTGGACATAGTTTACAATAGGGTTTCTTTAAATGTGTCAATTATAGGATCTGCACCATGGGGCCTCAAACCTCCAACATGAGACTAACTAGAACACCCCTAGGGAAGTGCCTCCTCAGTCCATCCTACTGCTGGGCTGTAACTTCTGTGCTGGGTTTCTAAATGGTACAGCACAGAGTTTTATCTGGTCTTCCCAAAGGCCTGTGCAACCCCTTAGGCCCCGAGAGCTCCAGGCAATGTGCCAGCTTTGCCTACTACTGCCGAGCCTATCTCCCTATAGTCTTTGGGATGAATGGACTAGTGAGCAAGCTGGCATGATCAGAAAAACAGAGGAAGGTGCAGAACTTGACATTTCCATCAGCTACTCTCAGTGCAGCTCAAACTAGCTATCCTGAATCAAAGGACTGACTTTTTTTAAAAGTTCAGAAGTAGCTTATGCTATGTCCAATGTATCTGAGTAGGAGAATTTGTAGGATTGTAGGAGTGAGGTTGTTTAGCTAGAGTAGCCCAAAGAAATGTGGGCAAAAAGGGAGCATTTGAAAGCATTTTCTCTACAATAGTAAATATTTTCCTGAAAAAAATTATGTAGACAAATCAATAAAACATTATTGTGCCAAATGTGCAGACTAAAATCAAGCATTGAAGTGTAAACCAAGGATTTTAATCCTGCCCTAAGTGTAAATCTCAACACAACCTTAATTATGCAACTGCTGCAGATGCCTTTATAATTTGGGTTTATACAATGTAGTTTTGAAGCTAGTAAAATAAGGCTCATACCACCTCACTTGGTCTTAAATCTGTTTACAACACTGAAAGCTATAAAGGAAACTATAAAGTGCTATGTGTCAAATAACATAGCTTTTGTAGTGGCTTTTGCTATAGAAGCCAATTACATTTTATTGATTTACCATTAGCGGTAAGAATGTTTATCATCATAATTGGTATTATCTTGTTACTACCTGTATCACTGTTAGGAAAAATTACCCAAGTTGAACAGAATTTAACTACCATATATAACTCCCTCTAAAGTCAGTAGGAACTGAATTGCTAAAGCACAAGCACCTCTGAAAATTTAGAAAGCAACTAAAGGTATATTTTAACTATTACACAAGTTAAAATAGTTATTAACTTTTTAAGAGCATCTTGTTCTCTACATGTCCTAAGTGTATAGGGCTATGGAATATTCTGATGTGGTTCCCTTGGTCTCCTCTGTTGAACCTGTTCCACTGTGGATAAATAATGAAAACATCCATAGGAACAGGATGACTAAATTCTGGGTTTCTCAGGTCAGTGCTTTACAGAGCACAGAGTCAGTCTTGTGCTTGTGCTCTGGCCCAATGATTCTTCCATTATTCAGTTACACTTCAATAGCTTCACTATTGGGCCAGAGAGAGAGAGAGAGAGAAAACATGGGAATGACTCTGTAGCCTGGTGGTTAGAGCACTCGTGTGGGAGACCTAAGATCCAGTCCTCATGCTCCAATGATTTTTTAAAATTATTTATCCTCCGTGAAACAGCTTCAATAGATGAGACTGAAGGAGCCCCACATCAGAACATCCTATAATCCAGTGGTTAGAGTACTCACATAAGAGGTGGCAGATGCCTATTCAAATTCTTTCTCTTTCAGGTAAAGGGGGTCTAGAACTGGATGTCTCCCACATCTCAGGTGAGTACCAAGAGATGTACCATAGCACTATCTCAGGTGAGCCCTCTTCTTTCCCCACCCCCACCCTGCTGTTTTATGTAAGCTCACCTATAGGGGCCCAAGCTAATAGGTGAGATCTGAGCATGTTTACTTGTCTGGGCCTTGCCAACAGGTTAGGTGGAGGAACGCCTGTCTTCCCCCATTCATGACTCGCTCTGGAGCTCAGGTGTCTGGACACTTGGTGCGGTGAGGCAGTGCACATGTGCAGAGGCAGAAATGTAGGCATCTTGGGAACTTTTAATGCAAAAATTTAAGCATCAAATGAGTTTAGGTGCCTATAGGATTCTGGGCCAATTGAGTAGGGGTTTTGTGAATACCAGTGGGGACTGATTCTGGGATTTAGGTACCTAAAATGGAAGTTAGGTGCTTAAGTCCTTTTGTAAACCTAGACCCTAGGGCCAGATTCACAAAGGTATTTAGGCACCTAAAGATGCAAATAGGAACCTAGGGGATTTTCAAAGGTACCTAACTCCTTAGGTGCCCAGCTGTTTTTTAAAACCCAGCTAGGCATCAATCAGCATCTTTAGGCACCTAAATACCATTACAAATCTGGTCCTCAATTTCCAGTGAAATTGGGGTGTCTAATTCTCTTAGGGTTTGTCTACCTACAAAAGTTATACTGGTTTAACTAAAACTATCATAGTTATACCAGTACAACCCCTACTATGGATGAATTTATAATTGTATAAAGGTGCTTTATATTAGCATAGCTATTCTCATATGGGAAGAGTAATAAGCTAGACCAGTATAAGGTGCCTTTATACCAGTATAACTGTGTCCACCCTAGGGATTGTACTGGTATAACTATTCAGTTTTTTAAAAAAATCAATGACAGTTATAACCAGTACAAAAATTGTGTGTAGAATAGGCCAAAGTCTCCTTTGAAAATCCCAGCCAGAAAGCATCATGGTGAGCCCACTGCTTTAAAAAGATTTTGGGGGGTCATAGAGAACCTATTTAGATTGACGTCTTGATAATCTTCTGCCAAAGGCAAAGATTAGAGACTGGAGAGAAGATCTCCGAGAAAGTCAAGACTTTCAAATCCAGTATCTTGTTTGTTTGTTTTTTAACATCTTTCCATTTGGATCAAGACCATTTAATGACATAGCAATAGCCACACTGAGGAACAGTCATCCGTGAACAATGGCAGAAAGTATCCCGTCCTTGATGCTACTGATCTACTGGCAAGCTTTTATACCACTGAAAACTGGGTATTGATGGGTAGGTTGCAACATTTGGCAGTAGTGGTCAAAACAGCTCTTCAGTGGTTGAGCTCATTCTTATTACAAAAGGCCTCAAAGCTGGTGATGGACACTTGCCATGTCATCACCTGAGTTCCCTTTATGGGGTGCCACAATTCCCCTGACCTCCAATATTCAACATCTGCGCACACTCTTTAAGAAAGATGTGAACGGACTGGAAAGAGTTCAGATGAGAGAGAGAAAAATATCAAAGGTTTAGAAAACATGACCTATGAGGAATGGTTCAAAGAACTGGGCATGTTTAGTCTAGAGAAGAGAAGGCTGAGGAAGGACCTGATAAGTCTTCAGACATGTTCAGGGCTGGTTTAAAGAGGTTTCAAAGAACAGATTAGACAGACACCTGTCAGGGATGGTCTAAGTATACTTAATCCTGTCTCAGTGCAGGGGGATGAACTAATGATGTCTTGAAGTCCCTTCCAGCCCTAGTTTTTTTTTATTACATTTTATATATGAGAATACTAGGAGATATTCTAAAGGATTGTAGAGGGCTGAGATATCACCAGTGATACACAGCTGCTTGTCTCTTTACCTATTGAGCTGTCTCAACTATCTCATTAACCTGTAGACTTTTTTGCTTGGGTAAGGGGCAACTGGCTCAAGTTCAATCAGAATTAAACTGAGGCAATTCAGTGAATTGAGCAAAATGCCTATAGGAAATTGGGAGATTTGTGCACCCTTCTTTTTGAGGTGCAAGGTCCAGAATTAAGGAGCTTCATCATGGAAGTCCATATTGCACCAGTACCTCAGATTAATTGTTATCATTTCCACATACTCCAGAAGCTGTCCTTTTATCTCTCTTTGTCCTCAAGACAAGCATTGAGCATTTGGCTAATTTGCTTCTACTTGGACTTCCCTGGAATTCAATGTTGCTTATTGCATAGGATGTTGTGAGGATTACTTAATTCATGTTTGTCTAGTGCTTTGAATATGGAAAGTGCTCTGCAAGTGTTCTCGGAAGCTGCAGAATATGGTTTTCCCCTCGTGAAGGAGGCAAAGGCATTAGTAACATCTGCTACCCTCATTCTGTCCTCAGTCTAGCACTTAAGACATCTTGCTCCCCTATGTTTCTCTTAGGCAGTTGGATGTCCTTGTTGTCAGTTCTGATTCAGGATATTGATTCAAGGGACTTCCTGAATATATTTGGCAGAGTTCTTCTGATGCAGTCTTTAATTCTTGGTATGAAGCCCTTCGATCTGGGCCAGTTCATTCTTGGTCATGTCTCTTATTTTTCACAATCTTTTCTTTTTTGGATAATTCTCCTTCAAAACTCCAAATCATCACAACCCACTTTGATGTATTTTTTAACTGGCCAGATCCTGGGCCTTTTCATTTTGAGCCATTTTGAGCCTTTTTTTTTTTCTAAAATGTCTAGTATCTGATGCCTCTGATGGGAGCTTTATAAAATAATATAAAATAGCAATATATAATATAAAAATTAGCAATTAAATAAATTACCATCAATAATGAATATTTTATTGAAGACAAGGAGAAAAGATTTTCAAATATTATTCTCTCCAAATATTTTGCTCTCTGGCTGCATTACATTAGGCAGAAATCTAAATATCAGTAGTTGTGTGCTAATTGACATCGGTGCTGTCTGGATGCGGCTGGTCATGCTTTTCATTTTTTCAACTAATTGAACAGGAGTTATCCCTTAAGCGACAACATCTTGTGGGTCTAACACTTACTTTCCCCCCTGAGTCACTACTTATACTACCTGCTGCATTTTTTCGGTTATGCCTCTTCAAAGGAGCTCCCCTTGCAGGGACTGTCAGTGTAAAGGAACCGAAATGGATTACAAGGAGAGGAGAAACTCAGCACTTTAAGCCACAATGGGGCTGTAATCTTATAAAGATGTGTACATATGGTACACTCATCATTCTGGATAAAGGTTTTTCATATGCATTTTCCATTAAAGCAAATGACACCGACATAAACCCGTGTGCATCCAGAGTGTAGAAAACACAATAGTATCCTGTTGGAATAGCAGTACATATTAGTAAAATGCCCCTATTCCTACCAGATTATTCATGAGGATTATAAATAAAACAGCCTCACATCATTTCCGGTGGCATCCTGACAGACATCTCCTGACTCAGTGAATTCCTGTTTACTAGTTATCTTTATTTGCAATCCTTTTTCAAGTTTTCAGTCCACTGTATTTAAAATTTTGCAAAAAAGTTTAATTGCAATATACACTGCTGCATTCCATTCGTCCATTCTATCTAGTAGTTCAATCAAAAGAATCTAGTTAATCTGGCATGATTTGTTTAGTAGACAAACATTGTTCATTAATCATAATTCTATTGATTTTCAATGGGAGTTAGGAGCCTAACTCACTTAGGTGCTTTTGTAAATCTTACTAGACCCTTACCTGCATCTGTAGCTCTATGCAACCTAAAGTCCAGTCCACAAGGTAAACAGAGACAGGTGTCTAGTGGTATTTTCAAAAGTTCCTAGGGAGGTGCGGGGCCCGGGACATTAGAAACTCGGCGCCTATCTGCCAGGGGGTGCTCCCCCCGGCTCTGCCCAGACCCCGCCCCACTCCACCCCTTCCCCCAAGGCCCCATGCCTGCCCTGCTTCTTCCCGCTCCCGCCCCACCCCCACCCAGTTCCGCCCCCTCCCCCGAGCGTGCCGCATCCTCACTCCCTCCCCTTCCCCTCCAGCACCTCCTGACGCCATGAAACATCTGATTCGTGGTAGGCGCTGGGAGGGAGGGCGAGATGCTGATCGGCAGGGCCCGCTGGCAGGTAGGAGGCACTGGGGGGAGATTCTGGTAAGGGGCTCCTCCTCGCCCCCCACCCGCTGCTCGCCCGCCCACCTCACCTCTCCACCCACGGGGGCCCCCAAAGTGCAGGGCCCGGAGTGGTTGCCCGCATTCGCCGTACCCAAGGGACAGCTCTGGTCCTAGGCACTCAACTCCCAGTGACTTTCTAATAGGCACTTTTGAAAATCCCACTAGGCACCTACATCTTTAGGTGCATAAATACCTTAAAATCTGAATCTAAGTCCCTTTTGAAAATGAAATTTAGGCTTCTAAGGCTCTGTCTGCACTAAAGACTTCTTCTGCCATAGCTGTGTTGCTCAGGGGTGTGAAGAGGTGTGATCCCTGACCGACATAGCTGTACTGGCAGAAACCCCTAGTACAGATGCTATTATACCCACAAAATTGTGCTTTTAGTTATATAGTTTAGTTTGTTTATGTGGGGTGGTTTTACTGAACCAGTACAAAGCACAGCTTGGCCAGTATAGCTGTGTCCACACTAGACACGCTTTGCCAGCATAGTATACTGGTATTCCTATATAGGTAAAGCACTCCAAGTGTAAATATGGCCTGTGCTATTTAGGTGCTTTTGAAAATGTTACCCAAGGTCCCTGTCCTGAGGAGCTTGTGAAGTTTCAGTATTGCCTCCAAATAATTGCAACCACATTTCTATCCCCATCAAGTACTGAGCACATTTAGGAATTGTGGTTTAAATTCTCAGAAGTGACCAATGATTTTAGGTGTCTCAAATTAAGACACCTGTAAAGGGATCTGATCTTCAAAGAGGGTCCCTGCTCAATGGTTTCTGAAAATCAGGCTTCTTCTGAGGTGCTTCAGGTTGGGTACCCAACAATTGAGGTACCCAAAATCAATAGTCCCTTTTGAAAATTTCAGCCTATGACTATTGAAATTAAAGCAAAAATTACCTGAAAAT